GAGACTTGATTAAGGTTGACCTGCAGGAGGTGCTCGGGCTAGCTGACTTCAAGGAATCAAAATCTACCATGGCCTAAAGATCTAGGGCTTGCCAGGCCTTCTGTAAATTCACTGAAGTCATGTATATTCCTTGGAGCTCATTTCTAAGGAAAAAAAAAAAATCTGGATAATGCAGAAATATCCAAATCCACAGATCAGCTGAACTGAGCAAAAGTGTCAGTTGCTGGACAATACCAGGTGGGTGGCACCTAGAATGAATGAATGAAAGCAAAACACACTAAATGACTAAGGAAAATTGATTTCACATGTGTGTATATGTGTGTTAAGCATAGAGGTCAATCATTCAACAAATAGGAAGGACTATGTTACAGCTTGGGATCCATGGAAATGCTTCTTTAGAAGCAGTAAGTCAACATCTTTCCTAAACTGCTGGCCAACTTTGGCTCGCCTGAGCTTTGACAATGTCTCAGAATTCTTCCAAAGTGATGCTACACACTGCCGTCAGAATTGGACTGAATATGAACGTCATCTGCCAGCTCTGACTAGGCTTTTAGTATGACAACTCATGTTTCCCACTCTCTGCTTCTCATGGCTTCAAAAGAACAGAACATTATCTAGCAATGTTTTAAAACTGAATACGGCAAGGCATCTTCTGAGTAAAAAGTATATCAAGTGTGTATGGGGGGCTAGCCTGGACAGATATTACATACAAACTGTTCATTTCAATTTACTGGCTAGTATTATGCAGCTAACCTAGTAACTGAACAGTAAGATTCAAAACATACTATTGTAAATTGTCTGAAAATCAAAATGAGGGAGTCCTTCACTCAAAAGGCGACAAAAATTGATTCATCCATATGTTCCTTAAATACTCAAGGCAGCAGTTTTATGCTGTGTCACCCTTAAAGAAGGAATTAGTAAAACTAGTTAAATCTGTTTTGTTTTTTCTCTAAACTATCTTATATCCAACTAGTTGAGAAACTCTGAAGCATAACTGCCATAATCCTTCATTTTTGCAGTTAGCTTTCTGTCTTTAAATACACATGCACGCACACACCCATACACACTCTCTCTCTCACATGCTCACTCCCTCCCTTCATCTCAAATCTGTCTTTCTCAGATTCCCTCATAGGCTTTAGGCCTTTCAGGATTCTGACTTGAGAAAGAAGTCATTATAACAAATTCTGAACACTGTGTTTTTGAAAGGTTTGAGCTACTTCTTCCCTAAAAACTGCCATTTGGTGAACTGCCTTTTCAAGTTGCCAACCTAACTTTAACCTCACAGAGCTATCCATGAGGAGAGAAAACAAAAGCAAAAACATAATTTGCTGCAAGGTGCTGTTAGGTAAAGCAAAAACGATGCTGAAAATCAAATTTCCTAACCGCCAGCACTGAAACATGTACTACACATGTTTTCTCACATTCAAGCTTCTGCTATTAAAAAAAGGGCGTGGGGCACAACAGGTTATATATACTGCAAAGGAAGGGAGATTTAAAATAGAAATAAAACTTTCTTCTTTTTCAGAAAGAATAGTGTAAACACAAACGGCAAAATTCAGAGCTAACAGGAATGGGGCTGCAAAGATGAGCCTTTGCCAAGTGGGTTTCATATGATTTACGGACTCTCGCCAACATCTTTCTTTTCCTTATTTTTAATTAAGGAGGAGGTGCTGTATTCTGAGGAAGCTATCTGGATGCTGCTGGCTGAAATGCAGATCTGATCTTCTCGTGCTGGTTGGCGAACATTGATTTTCTGCCCCAGTGGAAGAGATTTTACTCTGATGCATGCCATTTAAATTCATTTTACACAGCTGCTTAATGTGGCTTGGCAAGGCCCAGCCAAACTAGCTTTGTGGGTCTAAATAGGACTCCTGAGTTGGTAAAGGACAGAGCCTATGGATTAGCGGCTGATGATAAATGCTTTTCTCCCTTCTTATCTTCCTACCAACTCAGGAAGTGACCTTGAATGTAGCATGAGAAAGGAAAAAAGATGAAAGGCAATTTCTCCAAAATAAGTATGTTTACCTCATTCCATACTTATTTCAACTTTAGGATTATGTTTACAGAATTCTTTATTTGTTGGGACAATTAGGACCATGTTTACAGGATTTAGAACTCTCAATGGCAAAATTATCATTTGCACTTGTTGCCTAACTACATGTATAGAATATAAAGCTATTAAAAAGCTGTGTCATACATTCATAACGAGTAGTGAAAACACAATTCTGTAAGTTCAGTCTTTAAACAAAGTTAGTTGATTGTTCCCTGTTTTTTATTTTACAAAACTGTTGTATCTTTCTATTGAAACTAGCTCCTAAACACAATTTAATCTACAGGAGATAATCTCATCATTACTATATGTTAAATAAGATCACTAACAGTATTTTTGCTTCAACACTCAATATACTTCAAGATTATTTACTAACCTAAAGACAGTGACAGCCTGATATTACAGTTTTGTAGTAGAAAAGAAGAGAGATACTTTTTGTTGCTGTATGTAATTCCTGTGTTGAAACATCATAATATGGCAACACTGTGTTTGGGGAAAAAAATCCTGTGTTGGATTATTTGGTTGTATTTTCCCAGTGACTTTGATATTCTAATCTTCCTTGGGAGAAGAATAGAAATCTTTGATACAGATGTTTGCTCAGTGATGTCACTAGACCCTCCCAAATCCTATTAATAACCTCAGCCCTTCCTCCTGCCTGGGGCTTTTGTCAATGAGCCCGCTGCTCTCTGAATTCGGGGGGTGTGTGGGAGCAGGTCGCTGTTGTGGCAGGAATGACAGTAACACAGTCATGATAACGGTGCTGCACAACACAAGTCCTAGACAACACGACGACAACAGTGGGGGACATGACGCCAGAGTAGGTGACTTCATTATTTTAACGTGGATAAAAGATTTTGTTTCCCTCTCAGGCACGAAGGAAGGAAGCCATGCCGAAGCCATGCAGAGACAGGATCCGGGGGGCGACATGCAGATCTCTACCAAACTACCACAGTATTGCCGGGGAAGATGAAAAAACGAAACAAACAAAACAAACAAAAACCCGAAACAAACAAAATAAACAAAAGACAACCCCCTCTGAGATGGATCTTCTCTTAGGTCTTTCACACTCCTGCTTTGGGTGTTCCTTTTGCAGCCAGATGGCATGTTCATTAACAGCTTAAACAAATGCCCAGGTCCCGCAGCAAGTCAGGGTGTGCGGCTACCTACCCGTACTGGTCAGGCTGGTGCATCATGGGAGCCTGAGAGTTGCCATAGTTGGGGTGCTGGGAAGAAAACATGGGGCGTCCGCCAGCCCCAGACTGGCTGGGATAAGCAGGCGACCTAATGTATGGTGGCCTAAAGTAGAACAGAAGAACAGCTTCTTTGGATTTGTTCTGTAGACAAGTATGAATCCCCCTGTCCATTATGTTATTTCCACACCAAGGTGTGGTGGCTATAGAGGGTGGCCTGATACTCCGTATTAGAGCCCTGATGGGCGGAACATGAAGGCAAGACTTTGGAATGGTCTATTGATTAGAAAAAGGAACTGAAAATGCTTGGATGCATACGTATACTTTAATTTATATAAAATTATATATAAACTGATTCAGAAAGGGAACACAGCAAAGCTTTTTCATCAAACAACTCTGCCTTAATCTCTACAGTTACTGTCTTCCCAGCTCACTACTCAAGGTTTCATGTCAAATGCAATCAAATATTTTCTCCTTAAAAAGAAAATAACTTGTGTTTTTTTTGAGTTGTGACAATGGACAATTCATTTAAACCTAAATTAGAACTTCAACTGAATGGGCCCAACCAGTCCTCACATACAGGTATATTAAAACATTCCCTCTGCAGCCTGCATAGGTTCAGTTCAGAGGTATAGTGCCAGGGTTCAGAAGATTCTAAGTCACTGTAACATGGATAAGAGTGAGAAACGTGGGGGGAGGGGGTAAGAAGAGAGAATCTGACTTTCATTTTGATTCCTCAAAGGAAATTTATTATTTGTAGAGCAAATAGTGAGACTGGAAGGGTCCCTAACATTCTCAAATAGCAGCTTCAGAGGAAAAGTAACAAAAGGATACATTTATACACGCACGCGCACACACACACGCACACACACAAGCTCTTATTCCCCCTTGACAAAATCAGAATCTTCTATCTTTTCTCCTGAAGATACCATATTGTTCAGTCGCTCAGTCATGTCTGACTCTGCGACCTCATGGACTGCATATCTTTCAGTGTCCTTTGTTTTAAACATCTTAACATATGTTAAACAAAATTCAAACATTTTTTCATGTGGGTCTTTTAAAATATAGTTACTTCGTCTCATGAACTTTTAACTCAATTATTTTAAAACAGGTCGAGTATTTACTTCAAGACTTTTTCAGGATTAAAAACAAGTAAATAATTGAGGCTAAAGCCTTGCTCTATCAACTTAAACGTTCAGAAATACAATCCTTGTTTTGCTAACTGCCTTTTGGTTTGGACAGAGAGAGACATATGCCCAGAAAAATAAAAATACAACATAAGAACATGAAGCAATAAATCTCACACGTATACATTTAGACAAACACACACAATACACATATGTGCACATACAACGTTTCTATTTCATAAGGATTTCTACGGTGAGGTCAAAAGCAAAAAAGGGAGGTGTTCTTTTTGAATGTTTAGATTTGGGCCAGTTTCTAGGCTTTCACAGTCTCCTGCCTAAGCCTCGCTGTGTTAAACGGAACCACAGACTCGCCCTGTACCACTGGCTCTGGGTGGCTAGGTGCAGTGGCTCTTCTCAGCCGTTTCAAATAACTGCCCATGACTGATTCCTTCCTCCGTGTCTCATAGAACACAGTCTGTCATCTGCTTCTCTGGCCTTTCTGATACATGTAACCCAAAAGGGGTGGCCGAGCACAGCGGCCCTCTACTGCTCTCCACCCCCACTGACGGGATGACTGATTCTGGCTGCGCGCGTGCGCACATGTCCGCGCATACCGCCCGCCCGACAGCATACCTGCTTTGCGCCGAGTTCGCAGCGGCCTGCATCACTGCGGCAGCTGCCTCCTGTGCCTTACGGTTCACGGTTGGCATTGGTGGCCCCATTCCTGGACCCCCCTGCTGAGACATGCCAGGAGAACTGGGGGTCATGCTGCTCATGTTTCCAGGAAATGGTCTGTTCTGCATGCCTGCGGATGGCACTCGTCCCAGGGGCATGGAGCCACATGGCTGGCTTGGCCCTTGTCCATGCATCTGGCTGTTGGCATTGACACCCATGCCGGGCCCTGGGCCGCTGTAGCTTGCACTGGGCACCCCACTGTATGTTGGGGGTCTGGAGTAGTTACCTAAACAAAAATCAAACACAAATTAGAGCCTTGTTCTTAATATCTGAACTTATGAAAACATTCGCTGGAAGTACTTTTGGTCCAACAATGTGCTCCACACAGAATATGAGTCATTATCCTCATTAACCCTTTCCCATTGGTGCTGATGAGGTTGGCAGTCTCAAAACATATGATCTCTGTACATTCCAAAGGCAAAGAGCCACAAAGGACACTGGAACATGGAGAAACCCAGGCTGACCTCTGAAACCATCTCTGCATGGACACAGATGGAATGCTCATTCAACACCTCATGTTCTTACCAAAATTCAACCAAAATAATTATTTTAGCCCCTAGTCCCTAGATGTACTCCAACCTGAGACTGCACCAGTACATCACTACCACATGACAATAAAGTGTTCAGAAGGTGTAAGGAAACATGCACATATGGCCAAAATTACCCTTCAAACCCCACAGGAGGGGCCATGTAGAAACTGCAATCAGTCCAACCAGTTGGCTTTTCTCTGGTATCTAGAGACTTTTTTTTTTGCTTGAGCACCAGATAAAAGTGGCTGGGTTGTACCTGGCACCATGTCTTTTAAGTAAGTTTTAAGCACAAGTATGGCATCAGCAAAGCAGGACGGTGGCACTACAGCAAGCAGGCAGGATCTGAGACTGAGATAAGCGTCTGCAATCTCACCCCCCATCCCTGCTCACACGGGGCACACGCTCCTGGAGTAGATGGCCTGGACTAGTTCAACAATTTTGTTTTCTCTCTCCTTCCACACCTTTTATTTTGGTTGAGGGTACATAAATTATAGTCAACTAAATTGAAGGCATGTATAATGCCACTTCGATAACAATAACTGCTAAACCACACACACTATGTGTGAGATATCAGGTTAAGTGTTTTGCATCTATGATTTCATTCATTCCTCCAATAATTATGTGAAATATAGATACGACCATGACTGCATTGACAAAAGAAGAAAATCAAGAGCTAGTAGGTTAGGATTCAAGCTCAAGCAAAATGATTATGGAACCAATGTAATTAACCAATAAAATATGCTGCCTCCCAATAAGTGACTGTGGAAATGAAATATATGTAAAAGGAGAAGTGTTTGGAGAGTATGGATTAGTATTTCTCCATCTGTCCTTACCACTTCCTGGAAGAATCTCATCTATATAACCTAACTGTTCTAGGCACAGGGGATGTAAGGTTAAATACAATGCAATTCCTATACTCAAGAAGTTCACAACATAAGAATGTGAATGTGTGTGTGTGTGTATGTGTATGTGTACAAGGTGAAGTAGCAGGGGAAAGACAAGAAAAAATACAAAAGCAAAAACAGAAAAGATAAGGCACTATAAAAACTGTAAGACAAAGAAGAGTGAGTCCTTGTAGGGTAGGAACACAGGGGGTCATCCGCAGGGGGCAGGCTGAGTGAAGGTCTTTGAAAAACCACATTGGGGCTTGACCCAGGAATCTGTGTGGGGTGGGCTCTGGGATCTGGGAGAACTGGGGCTGAGTAAAAACTCTGTGAATATACCAACCATGTGACCTTATGTAAGTTGTTTTTTAATTTTTCTTGGTTTCATTCTCTTCCCTTTAAAACAGAGAGGATCCTCTTTGTTTTGGTCTACTTGAAGATTTGCTGTTAGGATTAAATGATGTAATTTGTGTAAATTGTCTTAAATATGGGTGTAGAAGTGGTTGGGGTTACTGGCAGGATGAGAATAACGCAGAAGAGGACAGAGGGCCCCTGTGGGTGAGGCAGTGAACAACAGCACAGACAGCGAGAGCAGACGTGACAGCAAGGCACTGCTGAGCTGGTGCAGCTGTGAGAAGGGCGCAGAGGGAAGAGGGCCCTGCTCACCAGGCTTCCCAGCCTGGGGCGTGTTCTGAAGGTGAGGAGGGGCTTCTTCAGGTTTTTCCAGCAGAAACTGGATTAGATCAGCAACAACAATAAAACCCAGCAGTCCATGTTTCCTATGTGCTAACCTCAGCTCCAAGTTCTTTGCATTACCTACTTTCATCCTTACATCAAGCTTAAGAGAACCCAGTCACTAGTGTCCTCACTTTAGGGAGGAGGAGCCTGAGGCGGTATGCAGAGTGACCTGACCCAAGGTCATGTGGCTAACAGGCCAGGCCTGAGAGCCGTGGTCTGTACACTTTATTCCGCTAGCTGCACCTCTGACCGGCCTCTCAAATACTTAACGGAAAACCGCACTGACATAACAGCATCATCACAATCGTGAAAGCAGGTTTTCTTAAGGGCACGTCCAAACCTGTAAGAAGCCCAGAGTTTTCAACAGTGACTGATGTCAGCTCTTCGTTAGGTGCTGCTTGTGAACTCTTGCACATGGCTGTCCATGAAGCGTATTACTTGCTGAAGGGTGAGCATTTTAGGCTTTGTGGGCTGGATGATCTCTGTCAAAACTAAACCGCCACTGCTGCCTTGACGTGGCCAGAGGTGACACACACATACATCGGAGCACCTGTGCTCCAATAAAACTTTATTTACAAACACAGTGGCCGGCCAGAGTGGCCACGAGTCGCTGAGCCCTGTGACAGACCAGTCTTGGGACAAGCTCCTTAAGGAAGTGCTCCATCAGCACAGAAGTGACCTGCTAAAGGCGGCAGCTACTTTCCCCAGGGTATTCCTGGCAGTCCAAGGGCTGGGGAGGAACAGCAGAGCATGGCACTGGCCATTTGAGGAGCTGGAACGCACAGGAAAATGAAAGGGAAGAGAAGGGACAGCAGAAGTTCAATACAAACCACCTCAGGTGCCCCTGAGTTGCATGCAAGTCAGTGTTTTATGCCAGCACCTCAACTATAAACCATGTTTTCAAAAAGATACCCTGCCATTGCAGAAATAATCAACCTGATATTGTTTGTAAGTAAACACTGATTCAGATGGTAAAGAATCTGTCTGCAATGCTGGAGACCTGGGTTAGATCCCTGGGTTGGGAAAATCCCCTAGAGAACAGAATGGCAACCCACTCCAGTATTCTTGCCTGGAGAATTCCATGGACAGAGGAGCCTGGTGGGTCCATGGGGTCGCAAAGAGTCGGACATGACTGAGCAACTTACACAACACAACACAAAAGGTAAACATTCACTGTTATCAATTTTGAAGTTCTTTATAAAAAGTTTTGAGGCGACTCTGAATCTGCTGTCCCATGGGACCACATAGACAGTCCCCGTCTACTTTCCCATCACACCGTCTCAGAGGAAAGGGCGCCTTATGCTCACACTGGATGGGGGGGGGGGGTCGCAGAGCAGTGGACAAGATGCTGTGTCCCCCTCTTCCTGTCCCGGAGCACAGTCCTTGGAACTCAGCTCTGTGGCAGGATGAAGGCTCACCCCTCCCCACCCCGTCTGCCTCTCAGCCCTTCCCTCCAGACTGTCTGATAACATCAGTGAGATACAGTGCTCTTCCTTGGCTCTTGCTTTTATTAAAAATAAACTCATTTGTAGCTTGAATGCAAACAAAATTAATCCACATATTCTTCCTGTTCCTCTGTAGCTAGTTTCCACTCTCCCTCCCTCAACACTTGGTAAGTGACTCATTTGGTAAGAAACGTAATTCAGTGAAAACATATGTACCCTTTGCTTTCGAAGGAAATGAAATGACACTTTAATCTTGTTTTAGAAAACAAGCATTTACATGGTTATTGCAGACTAAGCCCATAATGCACTTGATATGAGAAGAAGGTCCTTGGTTTTGCTAAATCCTGCCTATAGTTGAAGTAGAATGCTGCTCATACTTGGGACAGAGAAATACTGTCCCTCTGGGTTCCTGCACCTTGGGTTTAACTGCCAGTCAGGGGCTGTATTTTAAGAACCACAAAGGAAAACAACTGAGATGTCCAGTACCCCTGTCCCCATCTTCTATCTTTCTCATTCATTTTATGTGATAAGAAGAGAAGAGCTCTGTTTCAATAGCGTTGCTCAGTTCCACAGCTGGTCTTCATTGCACAGCAGGAAGCATTCTGTAATCCGGGAGAATATGCATCAGAGCACAACCACCATGCACACCCACACGCATGCGTGCACTCGTGCTTAGAAAGGCCCATTGAATGCTGGGCTCCCAGTCTTATTTTCCCTCAATCAGTTGGGCTGATTTCACAAACTGGCACTCAAAAGCACATGTCAAGGGAATACGTTCTAATTATAGAGGCCTCTATTTGGTGGAAGAAATACAAAGTTCCCTTTTCTTCTCCTTGAAACTTTAAAAGACTTTCCTCATTAAACTCACATGCCTGGATAAAAATGGTTTCTAAAGGCTTTAAACGGCTTAAGAGGCAGCAACAGATAAAGCACAGGCTGTAGAAACTGGATTTGAATACTGGTTCTGACACTTTCTAGGGGCACGACCTTGGACAATGTATTTAACCTCTTGGAACATGAGTTTTGACAGATGAAGTAACAATATTAATGGGCAACGGGCAGAAAGTGACTAGTACAGCGCCAAGCATGGAATTACCTAATAAATTATAGCTATCATCACGATCATCAACAATAATATTATCAATAATCACTAATACAATCTTTTTCCCATAATCTTTTAAAAATGTGTAGGAGTAAATGATTCACACCCCTTCACTTTGCCTACTCGATAATGTACTCGATAATGTACCATTCTCCCCAAAATAAATAAAAACCAAACATGTAAGCCAAGCAAAATATGAGAGGAAAAGCCAGGAATGAGGAGTGCAATCTTATTTCCATGTTTCTCTAATAGATTAGTAATTTGTTGGCACTGGCTCTGACAGAAAACAGATGGATCCAGCATTAAGCACAATGAAGGCAGCAGATGCTAGGCCAGCCCACCTCAGCTGGACGGGCCTTGCAGCCAAGTCCGAGAGCCCACAGTTTTCAAGTGGGTTCATCTTGGCACACCAGCTTTGGAAAATTGGTCACCAAATGAATTCAGATTTTAACTCACCGGGAGCTGTATTCAAGCACCAGATAACGGAAGCAGGGGCTACACTCTATTCACATTACCAACATTATTTT